CCGGTGCCCTGCCTGGCCCCCCGAACGGAGGGTCGGGCGGGCCCGTGGCAGCGGCTGGTGGCGACAGCTTTGCAACTTCTTATTGACGTACCTGCTTTGATTTGTCGCTGTCCGGGTTGACGGCCCCCTTCTGTTCTGGTCGAGGGGTCGGCCCTGTCGGAACTGCACCATATTGTTGAACTCTCGGCAAACGAATATCATGGCCCTCGCAACGATGAAGAGCGCAGCGAAATGCGATACTGAATGTGAATTGCAGAAATCCGTGAGCCATCGATACCTTAAACGCACGAGGTGCCGAAGGCTTCTACCGAGGGCACGCACGCCTGAGCTTCATTGGATTCCTCACGACCTCAGCACCTTCCGTTTCGGAGAGTGGTGGGGTCCGTGGTCGTGGCTTCCCTCGCTTCCCACTTGGAAAGCGTCGATACCCTAAAGTGGAAGGGAATTGGAGAGCATTCCGAGCGGGCTTGTGGGGGCCGCAGCCCAGAGTGGTGCGTTTCGCTCCGCCCTGTTGTTGCCCTCCAGCACCCGTTTGTGGGTGGTGGTCTTCGTTTCCCTGAAAACGGCACGTAAGGTCGTCCCTCCGGTTTGTGTGGTCGCCGCCTTCCATTCGCTCCCATCAGCTGGAGGTGGGCTTGCGGTTGGGGGTGTCGGCCTTGAGCTGTGGAGGTTCGTCGGGCTTCGCCTTTTGATCTCAGGTAGGGCGGGATCACCCGCCCAATTTAACCATATAACTAAGCGGAGGAAGAGAAACCAACGAGCGAACAAGGAATAGCCCAGACTGAAAATCCGGGGGCTGTGTTGCTCCCTGAATTGTAGTCTTGAGAGGCAACCTCTRCAGCGGGCCGTGTGCAGGTTCCCTGGAAGGGGACGCCAGAGAGGGTGACAGCCCCATCGACCGCCGGACCATGCTGCGGAACGAGGTGTTGTCCAAGAGTCGGGTTGCTTGAGAATGCAGCCCCAATTGGGTGGTAAGTCCCATCCAAGGCTAAATATGTGCGAGGGACCGATAGCGAAGAAGTACCGYGAGGGAAGGATGAAAAGAACTTTGAAAAGAGAGTTAAAGAGTGCTTGAAATTGCCGAGCGAGAAGCGGATGGAGGGGAAGTCGTGCGCTCCCGTCTGGGCAGGGGTGGACGGCGACTGTGTTGTCACCCCCCTTGTTGGACTTGGGGTGCCTGCCAGCATGGGCTGCTGTGACCGGCATTGCGGTGGGTAGCGATTGAAACCCCCCATGGGTGGCCGTCACGGCAGTCGAGGACGTTGAGCACGGGCCTCTTTCGGCGGTCCCGTTCGGGATCCTGCGTGTTCGGGATGCTGGCGAAATTCCTCTATCCTGCCCGTCTTGAAACACGGACCGAGGAGTTCAACGTGCATGCGAGCCGGTGGGTGATTAGCCCACGAGGCGGCAGAAACCTGAGTGGCGGGAATACTCTGCGGGTGCACCGTCCGCCAACCACGATCTGTTGTGAGAGGTTTGAGTGTGAGCATGCCTATTGGGACCCAAAAGATGTTGCACTATGCCTGAGCAGGGCGAGGCCAGAGGAAACTCTGGTGGAGGCTCGCAGCGATACTGAYGTGCAAATCGTTCGTCGGACTTGGGTATAGGGGCGAAAGACTAATCGAACCGTCTAGTAGCTGGTTCCCTCCAAAGTTTCCCTCAGGATAGCTGGAGCTGTTGAACAGTTTTATCGGGTGAAGCGAATGATTAGAGGTCTCGGGGGTGAAACACCCTCGACCTATTCTCAAACTTTAAATAGGTAAGATTTCGGGGTTGCTTAAGCGAACCCCGAGGATCAATGAAAGCTCCAAGGGAGCCATTTTTGGTAAGCAGAACTGGCGATGCGGGATGAACCGAAAGTCGAGCTAGTGGGCCATTTTTGGACACCACAAAGGGTGTTGATTAATACAGACAGCAGGACGGTGGTCATGGAAGCCGAAATCCGCTAAGGAGTGTGTAACAACTCACCTGCCGAATCAATCAGCCCCAAAACTGGATGGCGCTCAAGCGCTCGACCTATGCTCGGCCATCGCGGCGATTCTAACGCCGCGACGAGTAGGAGGGCGCGGGGCYTGCTGCGAAGCCTGGAGCGTGAGCCTAGGTGAAGCAGGTCCCGGTGCAGATCTTGGTGGTAGTAGCAAATATTCAAATGAGAAMTTTGAAGACCGAAGTGGAGAACGGTTCCATGTGAACAGCGCTTGGACATGGGTCAGTCGGCCCTAAGAGATGTGGAAACCTTGTATCAAGGGCGCACTGCGCGCCGCACATCGAAAGGGGGTCGGGTTAATATTCCCGAACCGGGTTGTGGAGGCGGAAGGTACCGTAAGCAGCTCCGGAGATCCCGGCGGGGGCCGTAGGGAGGGTTCTCTTTCCTTCTTGACGGCTCGCCCACCCTGGAATCGGATCAACCG